CAGACAAACAGACAAACAGACAAACAGACAAACAGACAAACAGACAAACAGACAAACAGACAAACAGACAGACAGACAAACAGACAGACAGACAGACAGACAGACAGACAGACAGACAGACAGACAGACAGACAGACAGACAGACATACAGACAGACAGACAGACAGACAGACAGACAGACAGACAGACAGACAGACAGACAGACAGACAGACAGACAGACAGACAGACAGACAGACAGAAACAGTTATGGTTTCTGAAGAGAAAGTAGAATTCACTATACAAACCTTTGCATTGAGCAATGTCATAAACTCCATCTTGCTGAGTATGAAATCCCAAGGGGCATTCCTTACAAGTTGATTGCCCAGGTTCTGACTGATAGAATCCCAAAGGACAAGGCTTGCATGCCGCCATTTGATCCTTGTCAATTTCTGCGTAATAGCCGGGTGGACAATCCACTTGAGAAATTAATTAATATAGAATAATTAACCTAATATAAAGGTTTAATGGTTTTCGTTCTCACTATATTCAACAAGAGTATTGTTGAATTGTGCTAAATTTATTTCAGACAAATGCTATAGAAAAAATGGTTTTTATTTCAGTTTCTTTAGGTTTTTTCCAAAAAGACAACTGTCAAGCGAACAAGCAGTGGTCGGTTATGTAAAATTATAGGTGTTAGCTTTAACTACGCAAGTTAATTTTTTAACTCCAATTAGTTAACTACAGGATTTTACTGTGTTGCGCACAAAGTGTAGTTGGAGTTTTAGGTTGATTAGTCTCGCGTGGGGTGGTTATACATAACATAACATAACATAACATAACATAACATAACATAACATAACATAACATAAAGTAGGGTTGGTTAATTTAACGACCGCTGAAAAACATTTGGAGCATGCTTGTGGACGAAAGTGGCGATAATTTCAAAACCGGTTATAATCTTCAAGAAAAAGGCGAGTCAAAATGTTGCATTGGGAGAAAGGTTTATTTTTATTAGGAGTCTCTCTTCGTTTTCGATCAGTGAGTGTTCACATGCAAATTCACAAAAAGCTTTACTCTTGCTCATTTCACAGACTAGTGTATTATTCAATGTTATTATGGACTTGCGTTTGTTGGATAAATGAGTTATATTAACCACTTACCACATTTAAAATCTTCTTCGACAAGGCTTTGAGTTTCCGGACATGTGAGCGAAAATTTCTGAACTGCTATGCTATTTCTTTCAACGAAGTATTCAATACCAGCCATCAAGAATGATAAAGAATCATTGTTTATGACACGCGCAAACTTCCCGATGTCTTCTTTCAATTCCAATGTAGCGTTTATAACCTTTCTGGCATTCGTTTTAAAATTGTCATAAGCGGCAAGGCTGGAGGTCATGTTTCTGCCAACATAGTGGAATTTCCAAATACATTCCCCGACACCGACACTGCTCATAGTCTTGGATTGCTCTAACTGGCATTTGATTGCTCGTAAATTCTTTATCTGCATACCTGCGCCCAAATATTTGTCGGACGAAAGGAGGGTCAGAATGTGTGAACTAATATCGTCATAACCAGTAGTATTTGATGGAACAAAGCGTGAATTAACTTCCCTTGTACGTCGAATTAAAGAAAACGACAAATCTACTGCTGGTACAGGAAGAGTAAAAGCTAGTCCTTTAACGAAACTTTTCCGGGACAACGTTTCACCGTATGAATTGGAAACTTTGCAGAAATACCACCCTTCGTTTTCTGTTGTCATAGGAGCAAAATTTAGATAAGGAAATGTTTCACTAGTCATTGGCGTAAAGGACGTCGATTTTTCAGGTTTAAACCACCACTGATACGAGATATTCCTGAGAGTGTCTTTAACTTCGCAGTGAAGAAAATCATCTTCAGATAAAACTATAGACAAATACTCCTCTGGTTGAATGGAAATTATAGGAGGCTCATGGACGATAACAACTGCAGGTATTGATTCTTCTTTTGCAATATGGTTGGATACTTCACATTTGTAACTTCCACTATCAGATACCGTTGCATTATTGATTATTAACACATTCGATCTTTGGGTTTCCAAAACGTTATTGTTGAATGTCCAAGAATATTTTAAATCTGTTCCAGATGCGTTGCAATATAGGGCCAAGTCTTTTCCAATATCTAACTCGCTCATAGACTTTGGATGTTGTGTAATATTCGGTGATTTAGCGCAAACTACTGTCAGTACGTGTTTCCGAATTTCTCCCAAAATATTTAAGATCCGTGACGTTATTCCCGCCGCTTGGTCAATGGACATGTCAACAGGATTTGACAGGTCTCTTAATGCAGTTTCAAGATACTTAACTTCGTTTTGAATATGATCCACTCTTTCAGTTTCGATCACAGCAATAATCTCTAGTAAACTGTCAAGAATATGTACCATACAATCGTTCATTCCAGCACAATCGTAAGCTAATCTTGACGAGTTAAACATGTCCTCCATTGCAGCGTGCCAGTTAAAAACAAGCAGCTTGGTTGTGGAATTAAGGGGTTCATATTTCTGTCGGAATGTTTCTTCTCGAAGCATCATTACCTCGGACAATTCCTGGTCATCTTCAAGGATCTCCAAACCAGAGAAATTGTGCTTGCCTTTTCCAAGACCAAAGTTGGCGGCCATAGTTTGATTCAGAAGAAATTTAGATATTTCTTCCACATTAGTAATATTCAGGAAAGACTCGTTGGCTTTGGGTAGTTTTTCATGAAGAGACAGAACTTCCGAAGACAAGTTGAAAAGTGATGATGCAACATCATATAATATTTGATGGTAGTTGGTAAACATTGCACAATAACTATAGTATTTCTTCACTGAAGAGATCAACATGTTGGATTGAAGCGTACGAATGTTCAGTGAGCGCCTCTTTCTTGAATTGCTCATATGATTATATCCAACAATACTTGTCACAATCTCTTTAGCTATGTTCTTTAAAGACATGTTAAGGTTCTTAAAGTCCAGGACGGTGGACAAGACTTGTAGCGTTCTATTTACCTGAAATGTGATGTCTATTGGCAACAAGTAGTTGTCATTTCTTACGGATACTTTTGCTTTGAAACGAATTTCATTCAATTTTACCTTTTCAAGTGCGGTCAGCTGGTCGTTCAAGAGTAATTTTATCTGTAGTGATTTGAACAATAACTTATCCATTTTCTTTCTGGATTCAATTGTGGCATTGTACGCTTTCTCTAGGCTACGAATAGCTTCCTGTGTAGAGTTTAGCCAACGGTGTGCACTCCCTAGTTGATTATAGTATTTGTGTTTCCGTATTTTCCAATACGAAACATATCTTTTTGCGCCCTCCAACTTTTTCAACATCGTTACTACTTTAGAATTACTGTTAGATATTTTCTCTAAAGCTTTCATTCTTGCTTTGCTGCAAAAGGCATTTCCTGCAACACAGGTTGCGTTACTTAATGAGGCGCAGGCGACGGTTCTACAGCAAGTTTTTGGGATAGATTTTGTTATCTTTTCGACCATGCATGATTTCTCGCACGTATAAGGAGTATGTTCGTATTTATATTCGTGTCTTCCTTTTGTACATTTTACTTTCTGAGTTGTGCATTTCCAATATCCATCTCGTTGTGGTCTTTGGCAACGAACTGGCGCAACAACAGCATGCGTTACGCCTTGAGCAATTGGCGATAGATCACCAACAAGTCCAGTCACAACTCCCTTAGTTGCAGCACAAAGAGCTTCGTCCACTCTTCCTCTGTCTACTAACGTCACTAAACCGTTTGCGAGTCCGGAAGCTACTGGAGCTGGTACACCACCAAACACTGTAGCTGCTATTGCAATTCCAAAAGAAATAACGCGTTTTATTATACCACCAAACCAATTTCCGAAAATAGATTTAAAGAATCCATTTGTATTATGAATTCTGTTGCACTTTTTTTTGTCGCATTCTACTATTTCAGTTAGGGGTGGAATACGGTGCTGTTTTGTTTTATAGCAAGTTGCAGGGCACACTCCCATTACGTTTCCAATGACATCTTCATAACACGACGTGCACAATTCACCTTCTTGACAAACTTCCGAACATTGTTTTATTTCACATAAGCTATTCAAATCCGACTTTAAATTTCCCACGTCTTTAGAGTATTCGCTTACATTATCTTCAAGAGATAACAAATACTTTTGGGCAAATTCGAGGTTCTCCTTTGTTACCGAGTGCTGTTCAGTTTTTTCATGTACCTTGTTTGCTGCCTCGCTCTTTAAAAACATTACTTTCCGTAACCTATTATACGCACGTTGAACCGTTTGATCAGCTGCTTCTAGACGATGTATGGCGCGGATAACAAGATTCACTGAAAAACTGTCTAGTTCTCTCTTCAATAAACCTACCAAATCAGTTCCTTCTGACTTCGTTTCAAATCGACCTTCGACATGGAAAACTTGTCTTTTCCAGGATAACAAGCGCGATGAACAGTTCATGGTTGCATCGTACAAATTGTACAGTTTACCACCAACTTGAAAATATAATCCTTCGTAAGACATTCTAACGTTCACCAATTTCCTGATTCTGAAAATATTGCAAATAGCACGAAACGACCCTGTAGATCTGAATGCATTTTGTGCCAAGAAAATGCGTACATTCATGGGGTTATTTGGAATACTTTTGAATATTCCAAACGTTCTATTTTCCAATTCAATGTATCTGCCGCGAAATTCAACACTGTATTCGAGCGCTTTGGTGGGTTTGGTCGCAGAAATACGGGAATCAATCATTCAATCATATTTCCCATGAACTGATGAACGTAAATTGACTGGAATTGTAGAGCACCAAATCTTAGATTCCCAAAAAATGCACATGTGAAACTGTCAGTTATTTCAGAATTACGAAAATGACGCTTTCCTTGATAATGTCGGAGGAAACATAAAATGTTTGTGTCAGATCCGATTTCTACAAAGTTTCTTAAAGGAGAGTAAGCAAAAGGATCTTTTTGTAATACGCTGTTGAAGAATAATCCTCTTTTACTTCCACGTAGTTTCTTATCAACGTAACCTAGAATCAAATTTCAAAATAAAAATCAATTTCAATTTATCTATTTATTTCCAAATATTTGCAATTTGTGTAATTACGCAATGTTATTTTATAAAAATAAACGAGCGGGGGGGGGGGGCGAATATTTTACGATCTTTTTTCACTTGCAAACAAACCTAAAAAGTATGTCCAGTTGTTTATCTGTAAAATGATGTCTGAAGTTCTGTAAGTTTTGCTTATATTGCTGTCTATTAATATGGCGCCGATTTTACAGCATGAATGATAATTGTATTTATATTATTCCGTTTCTCAACCGCCAGGTACATTGAATAAGGTTGCTAACTGTTTCAATATCAGGGATCGATCCAGCATGAACTGGTAGTGGGGTGCTCTGACATGTGTGCCGCCCGCCGATCAATTTGCTTGACTACTGCAAAGTCTTGCATGACTACTGTATTTGAATTGTAATTGTTGTTCGCAGTTCGCTTATCATCATGTTATTACTCAAATTACTGTATCTCATTTTGCTTTATTATGAAAAATAGCACCCATCCCTACAATCCCCTCAACCCCTCAGACCAGGGCTAGATGGACGTGGGGTGCGAAGCCACCCCCCCCACACCCAGTGAATTCTTCCCTGTATTTAATCTACAAAATAAAGCTAAAACGAAGTAATTTAGAGAGGAACGCCAAAAAGATTTTAGGTTATCATCACAAATACGAAGCATTGAAAAAATTGCATCCTAAATAAATACCTTCACATTTTAAAATGAGTGCGTTCATATGTAAAAAAATAACGCTGAAATAACTGCGTTCAACATTTTCCATTATTATACTATAACTGGATCGTCCCCAGGCGCAACAAAAAGTTTCACATAAGAGTCACTATATAAAATGTTTGCATGAAGTAGTGCATCACAACGAACGAGTAGCGCAAGGGTTTATGGGGCTGTGAAAGCTAACCGGAACGCTCACATCCCGTCCCCCTTGCGGCCTATAATGACGCACTACTTCATGTAAACCTTTAATATAGTGACTCGTATGTGAAATCCTTTATAGAGCCTGAGGACGAGACAAATATTTTAAGAGTAGTGCATGCATGCTGAAACATTGCCTACCTCCGAAAGCAGCATAACCAACAGATTCTCGTGCATTTAAAGAAAGTTCCACAGCTTGTCCTTCAATTTTAGTCACCACGGTCAAGGCAATTCTTCCATACATACAAACGTCCCAATGTTGCTTGAGAGGATAATTCAAGATCTGCAGTAAAATAAGAATCAGGAAAATAAATGCAATAACTGCAAGTCCTATGTCTGTCAGCCTGTGTTGCATTGGAAATTTTTACATGTATTGGAGATATTGTCGTCAAAAATTTCAAGATATACTTAATGGCAGTACTGTTATGTCGAATATAATAAATAATTTAAAGTAATTTGGAACATTTATTGGTTATAAGCTAATTCTGTCAGTTTTTATATTATTTGACTGTAAGACTAATACGTTGCATCTACGGTTAAATTTTACATTAAAGTTCGTGTTGTAAGTAGCACTCAACAGTATGTTACCATGCAACTTTAATCAATATAATGGACAAATACGTTTTTAATTTACCTGGGCCGGGTTATCTATGTTTTAGTTGATAACCGCTTTTCATCGCCGGTTCAATGCGTTCGTTCACAGTTATTTTAATAGATGGTTTGGAGACTCGATGAATGTACAATATAACTCATTAACTATTGTCCAGCTTTATGCAAGAATTTGGTCCTATCTTGTCACGTGTGTATTGTATTTTCGCTCAACTTTCCATCCGTAACTTGATCAAATGCTCAATTTAAACATTGCTATTGGTTGTGTGGGGGAAAATACAATACACACGTGACGAGATAGGCCCAAATTCTTGCATAAACCGAAACCAACATAGTTAATGAGTTATATTGTACTTTCATCGAGTCTCCAAACCATGTATTCTATTAACTGTGGTTCGTTTGACGCGTTTGTTTGTTTGTTTGTTTGTTTGTTTGTACTTTTCATTTTTGTTATTTGTTAAAGAGATGTATTTTACAGTTCAAAGCCTTTTATGCTCAAAATATAAAAATAATAAAATGAATCGAACTTTAGAGAGTATAATAACATATACTTATATTATACATTTTGGAAATTGATAATTCCATTAAAATGATTAATTTTATAAATATTGTAACGTTGCCATTTTGTACGAAAAAAATTAAAAAGTAAATTGATCGTGTTGCCATGACCAGTGGTGACTAGTGACGAAGTAAATAAATGACGTTATTGCCCTTGAATTGTGTTCTTGAGTAGTGAACAAGTAACGAAGTAAAATATTTGTCAGAGTACTTTTGCTTGGAACAAAGACATTTTATGAAGTAACGTTTTGCTTTGTTATTTTCATGTTGATGCGAAGTATTTCGTTACGTTAATTTCATTATTATTTAATAATACTCCACTTATTCCTGAAAATACATTATTAAATAGCATACAAAGAAATCAGGACACTCAAAAGACTATTGCTATTTGAGGTAGTCTTGTCGTAGTCACAGTTTGCAAAATACATCCCATTAATTGGACATGGCTATGAATTGATGCTTAGTTCGCTGACCCATCAGTGGATCTTTCACTTTCTCCGATCCACGCAGGCCTAACATTATGGCCATGTTATCAAAGCCAATTACCACGCATTGTATTTAAATGTGCATGGAGGACATGACTTGTTATATAAGCATATAAAATTAATACAGTCTGTTGTGTAAAGCTTAGCATAAAGGATTTTTTCTATGTATAAAATATGACGTGGAGTATGTAAACCCGGAAAGGCGAAAAGCCAATGTAACAATTTTTTTAAATCCATAAATCAATTTCGGCAAATTGTACAAAGGTACATTACAAGGCACTTTACCCTGTTTTGACAGGTGTACGTGAGGACAGATCAGATTTATGTGATCATTGTTGATTGAGTATTAAAACACTTCCCCCCACCCCTCACCCACACACACTCATTTTTCATTCAACTTCTTCTTTAAGTACTTTTTTAAAACTAATTAACTTGTACTCTTTACTCTAGTATATTTCCCCCCAGTACTTTTTATCCTTACTCAAGTTAATGTTAAAGTGACGTCGACGACTTCTACTTTTACTCAAGTACAAAATCAAAATAATTTAGTCACTACTGGCCATGACCACAATTTCACGCAAGCGTTCAGTCAGCAGCTGTCTAATTCGGAATATTTTATGTTGAACCAAGTTTGTGAAATGGCGAGAGGCTGCATGCCGCATGCGTGTATGTATTTCTCGTAATAAAAATTAAGATAAAATGTTGTTGTCCTTGGCCAATCAGAAACGAAATGATGTTATAATCACTATTTTTAATATTATTTTTACCTCGTCTATATTTTCAACATTTCCAATGATCGTTCCGTCAAATTTCAGTCTTACGTCACCAAAATTTGAATGTCTGAAATACTTGAGAAACGTCAATACTGCCGCAAAACTCTCGTTTGAAGATTCTTCCACGTTGAAGAAATCGTGGCCATCCCAAAATGTGCCTGTCTTTACTTTTGCGATCTTTTTACTTTTAGAAAATTGAAGAGAATAAAATTTGAAACCCCAGCCATATTCTTTAAACTGTCTTAAAATTGATACATTGTTTACTGCGAATAAGGTGTCTTGCAAGTTGGTTGGACGCAATAACACATTCAACGGCGGTTTTCCACAGAGTTCTACAGCGAATGAAATTAGACTAAGGGATTCAGAGTTTAAGATATCCGCATCGTTTTGAATGGTAATATTCAGATTCCTGGTTCTAAGTAAGGAATAGAACATATCCTCGAATATGGGTTGGCCTTTTCCGATACCTTCTTCTCGAAGTTCTTTCCCAGTCAAAAAGAATGTTTTCAGCTCTGAGGAGTGAGTCTTTTTGAATAAGCGTTGTTTATTACCTAGAGTGACTTTTATCCACGATGGAAAACTATCTGCGACAGTTTCTATAAACGATCTAGCTAAAACACGTGATTTCAAAAGCGATTCTGTGGAATAAGAAATAACGTCCATTCTGTCATCACAATACTGTGGAGTTGTAATTGCAGTTGAATTCGGTAAATTTACACCTAGTAATGACAATGGGGTTTTCCAAGACTGGCCAACCTCTAGAGTAACAACTCCATGTGTTAGAGTTACAGGCCCAAACGGAATGAACGGAGATGTTGATGATGCGACTATGGATTCGTTGGACCGAGGACAAGTTCCAAGCTTCCTCTTGTGACAACCATTAGGAAAGGTAAAAACCGATACTTGTTCTTCTATTAACCCATTTTCGGAAGTTACGAACACAATATCGTCTTCGGGCAAAGAGAATTCGCCCGCGCTCGGACCAGATATTGAATATTTAATGAAGAAATATCCTGGGTCTCGAGCTGCAAATCTGATTGTTTTATTCATTGCAGACCCTCGTTTGAAAACAAGACTTGACGAACTAAACTCTAACTGACGACTTATGAGATTTAAAACAATATAGTCACTTGGTGGTGAAGCATGAATCGTGATAGGTGGTGAAAGAACATTGTAGGATATTGTCGGGTATTCGGGGATGGTAAAATATCCAATATCACATTTAGTTCCCTTGTATCCCGAGTGGGTGCAGTCACATCTGTATTGGTCTGCTTCGATTACGGAACATACGCCATTATGAAGGCACGGATTTGGTTTACAAATTTTGATCTCTGGAAAAAAATTAAAACCATTAATATATTTATGGGATTAGGGCCAGAATTGGAATATAACGTTGATTTTCCATCATCCGCGCGCAATTCAGTGCAAAATTATTAGCCCACAAAGCAGATAAATCTGCAACGGACATTTGCTTTTAATTCGGAATCGATCAGACATCATTGCTGCATGTGATATGATATTCATGCTGCTTGAATATTCTCCAGTGCA